CCGGCCAATTTTGTATGTTCAGTAGAGATGGGGCTTCACTATGTTGGTCAGGCTGGTCTCAAACTCCTGACCTCAGGTGATCTGCCCGCCTCAGCCTCCCAAAGTGCTGAGATTACAGGCGTGAGCTACCATGCCTAGCCTTTTTTTTTTAAGAGACAGGGTATCGTTCTGTTACCCAGGCGAGAGGAGAGTGGTGTGATCACCACACCCAGCTAATTTTTTTAACCTTCAGTAGTGATAAGGTCTCACTATGTTGCTCAGGCTGGTCTCCTGGGCAACAGAGTCAAATCCTGGACTCAGGTGATCCTCCTGCCTTGACTTCCCAAAGTGCTGAGATTACAGGCATAAGCCACCATGCTCAGTCTTATGGTTGGAATTTTTGAAATTACACGAGGGCAAATTCTTTCCATGTTTGTTTACTCCCTTGTACTTCAAGGTATGGACCATCTTTTATCTATTTGTTGGGGTATCCAAGTTCGTTGTATAAATCTAGATGTATAGATTCTAGATATAACATTGTAACTTTCCAATTACTTGCTTTTTTAATTGTTACTATAAATACTCTTCTAAAGGTTCTAAGTTTTGTTTTGTTTTGTTTTTTTTGAGATGGAGTTTCACTCTTGTTGCCCAGGCTGGAGTGCAATGGTGCGATCTTGGCTCACTGCAATCTCCACCTCTCGGGTTCAAGCAATTCTCCTGCCTCAGGCTCCTGAGTAGCTTAGATTACAGGCATGCGCCACCACACCTGGCTAATTCTGTATTTTTAGTAGAGACAGGGTTTCTCCATGTTGGTCAGGCTGGTCTCGAACTCCCGACCTCAGGTGATCTGCCCGCCTCGGTCTACCAAAGTGCTGGGATTATAGGCGTGAACCACCACGCCCAACCAGGTTCTAAGTTTTTATACATTCAAATCTATTGTTGTTTCTTTTGTGAGTTTATGTGAGTCACTAATTTTTCTGACAAATTGGTCCCACTTATTTGTTTTTTAAGAGATGAGGTCTTGCTGTGTTGCCCCAGGCTGGTCTTGAACTCCTGGCCTCAAGCAATGCCTCGGCCTCCCAAAGTGCTGGGATTACAAGCGTAAGCCACTGTGCCTCGCAGAGTCCCGCTTTCCAAGCATTCATAACTGTTCCCTGGAATCCAGGACTTGGCTTACATTTCTTACAAATTCCAATGATACAGAAGAAACTTAGAAACCTGGCTAAGAAAATGTATAAAAACAGAGGGAACGGTTAAAAAGTGTTTCAATCCAAAAATTAGGACCAGGCGTGGTGGCTCACACCTTTAATCCTAGCACTTTGGGAGGCCAAGGCGTGCGGATCACCTGAGGTCGGGTTCAAGAACAGCCTGACCAACATGGAGAGACCCCCATCTGTACCAAAAATACAAAATTAGCTGGGCATGGTGGCGTATGCCTATAATCCCAGCTATTCGGGAGGCTGAGGCAGGAGAATCGCTTCAACCCGGGAGGTGGAGGTTGCAGTGAGCTGAGATCATGCCACTGTACTCCAGCCTGGGCAACAAGAGTGAAACTCCATCTCAAAAAAAAAAAAAAAAAAGGTGTTTCAATTTAACTTCAACCCAACCAGTTCTTGAGTCTGAGAAAAGACCCCACAGATGTCCCCAGAGATGCCTTGGCCAGGAACGCATTACCTGAGGTAGGTGGGGGGCTCTGTGCTGATGGACACAGCCTTGTACTTCTCATCATTGCCGTCCAGAATCTCTTCCACTTCCGAGGCTTTTAACAGGGTCACACTGGTGGCTAGAGTTGTGTATCCGTGATCTGCAACAGACAGACATCACTGGGTCACTCTGCTGGTGGCAGTGGCACACAGCAGCCAGCCAAGTGGATGCAGCACATCAAGGTCCTCGCATGCGGGAGGTGGGAAAAGCAAGGTGTCAAACTCACTACTACCGAATGCTGGCCTCTTCCAAAAGGGCAATCTGGACTGAGTGCTTTACTTACAAGTCCTGCTGGGTAGAGCCTCCAAAGGGACTGATTTAGACTAATCTGCACCAGGCGCACTGGCTCAGGGGCAGAGGGGAGTGCTCAGGGCAGCACCAGCAACTACAATACAGCACGACCAGCGGGGACACCTTGGTCCTCACTCGGGAAAAGAAAGGCCCCAGAGTAACACCCCAGTGGGAAGAGGTCTGACACCACCACAATCCACAACACGATGCGAGGTGGGGAGATGGAATGAGAGATGAAGAATGCTTTTCTTTTAAAACAAGAGCCCAGAGAGTTGGAAAGAGCTGCTTCACACCAAACCCGAATTTCTATCCCCGAGCCGGTCCAGATGGGCTGCCTGGAAAGCAGGACAGATTCTAGGCAGCTCGACCCCTCGCTCTTCCGGGGAACCTCCGTCAAGAGCTATCTGTCTGTGGGCCCAGTCTGGCTTCTCCTGGAGAAATCAATCGCTTATGGGGAAGGTATCTCCCAAGACTTAGCCCAGGGACTTGCGGAGGGGGAAGCAAAGCCGGGGACTCACTGTGTTAGCGACTGATGCTCTGCTGGGGGAGGAGGGGGAACAAAAAGGAAACTGTTTTAAGCAAGTGAGTAGAAATGTCATAGCAGCGGATCAAAAAGAAGCTCCGGCTCCTGCATTAAAAGAACCACTACTTTCCCGCAGTGGACAAAACCACAGCAGCACCTACAGACACAAACAAACAGCGCAGACTACGAAGCATCGCGCACGTGCTCACAGACACACCCAGGCCCAGGGCAGCTCTCTACAAGGCGCCATTGCCACGTGGGAAGCAGTTTCGCCACCTGCCAAAGGACATGCTGTGACCATACCCAAATGTCTCCATGGGAGTGTCTCCTGCAGAGCCCCCAGAGTGTCTGACGAGCACCCTTTCACCCTGCACAGAGCTGCCGTGACCCAAAGCCCACTAGTTTCACTAGTGTTGGGCGGCTCAACTAGCAAGCCCCAGGCACACGCAGGCCACCAGGAGCAGGGACATGCACATGAGCTCTAGCACACTGGCTGCCAGGATGAAGTGCTATGGGATGGATGTGCTCTGGGAAGCAAGCGGTGAAAGCCCCAGAGGGGAGTGGGAGCTGGGACCACCACCCGCCACTTGGGCTGCATGGAAGATGATTATGGCGACACACCCACGGCAGATGGCAGAGCATCGCAGCATTCCTAAAACGTTTTGAGACCAACATGTCTTCACAGCACCTGCTAGTGTCCCGGCCCCGGCCTGCTCACGTACCCACTGGCCCTGCTGGAATACCTGACAGTGGACCACCAATGGCTCCCTGGAGCCGCTTCCTCGCCTGGAGTGCTCACAGGGCGGCCCACCCCTGGGATGCTCCCTGCCCAACTAAGGCCAAGGCTGCAGTGAAGACACTCTGGAGTGAAAACGTTTTATCTTCATGACATAAGCGAGTGGTTTTGAAACAGGTTTACAAACCCTCGTGAAGACGCACCCTTAGTGTTAGGTTTTGTTTTTTTACCATGTGACGATGCAACTATTTTCTTCCTCTCTTCCACAGTGGCTAGTCGCCTCCAGAGTGAGGGGTATCTCTTGTACAGAGAACCTCGGAACATACGGAGGTAGTTTCCCACCTATGAGTAAAGCAAGAAGGCTCATTATGAGGGTCGCAGCACCCCAGGGAAGGGGAGGGTCCTGGTGCAGACTGCATCAAGCAACAGACAAACAGGCCTCGAGGTGGCCCCCAGGCGCCAAGCTTTCCGCAGCATTAAAACACATTCTGCTGATACGAAGGGTTCACCAGCAGTGCACATCTGGCCTGCATGTGTGCATCCTGACAACAGAACCAAGTTCCGAAACGCCTGGGCAGATGCCTGAGTGGGAGGCCCCCAGAGCTTAGCAAGCAACTCGTGGTGATTTTGATTTTGGACTAAGGATCTCTGGCACTTTCCAGAAATGCAAGGCCTCCTTGACCTTCTTTTATCTTAAGGACAAGACTTTGATATTTTTACGATGCAATAAACACCAAAAAGGTCTTTTAATTTTAGACAGATGCCAGATAATTTCCCCCATGGCCTGTGCTGCTTTGTTTAGTAACAAAACCCCAACCAGGGATACCAAAGGAATTTTCCAAAAGGTTTACAAGGCAATCACCAGATTATTGGCAATCACCAGACTGCTATATAAAGCATCACTGACTCAAACAATGGCTTCAGTTTGCTTGTACCAAGTACTGAGAGTGTGACTTCCTTAAGGAAAATAAATCTAGTCCTAAAGATTTTATGAGGGTACCCTATTGTCTCACTGACTTTTCAAGTATGATCGCTTCGGAGTCACATTGCAGGGGATGGCCAGTAGACTGGGTGCTAGGTGCTGGCTCCATCTGTAACCTGGGATCACTTCCCATTTTCTGGGTCTCTTTACTCATCTGCCAAATGCTCAGCAACTCTGAACTTCACCCTATGAAGGACCACTTCTATTATTTTTCCCATTTTATCTACCCAACATAGTATATACTTTTAATTTTAAAATTTATTTTTAATTTTTATTATTATTTTTGAGACAGTGTCTCGCTCTGTCACCCAGGCTCAAGTGCAGTGGTGTGATCATAGCTCACTACAGCCTCGAACTTCTGGGCTCAAGTGATCCTCCTGCCTCAGCCTCCTGAGTAGCTGGGACTATAGTTGCGCACCACTACAACCGGCGAATTTTTGTATTTTTTGTAGAGACGGGGTTTCACCACGTTGCCCAGGCTGGTCTCAAACTCCTGGGCTCAAGCGATCTGCCCACCTCGGTCTCCCAAAGTGCTGGGATTATAGGTGTGAGCCACATACCCGGCCTAATTTAAAAAAATTAAAATAAAAATTTGTAGAGACAAGAGTCTCACTATGTTGCCCAGGCTGGTCTTAAACTCCTGGGCTCAAGTGATTCTCCTGCCTTGGCCTCCCAAAGTGCTGGGATCATAGGTATGAGACCCAGGCATAGTATTAAATAAAATGTTTCTCCATTTTCAGCAGTGACTATAATCAATAACCAGGGCTACTGAACACTGTGAGAGAAGAGCAGCCACAGCAACTCACTCGCTTTCCACACAGAAGGCACAGACCCCTCTGTGTTATTTGGCTTGTGTGTCAGTATCATCCAGTATCATGGTAAATGTACAGTTTCCATTCGGTTTTTTAAAAGAAATTGACAATACTCCCCACTATGACTATCTTGCAGGCCCTGCAGGGCTCTGAGACTCCTAGATGCCCCCCAAAGCCCCTTCAGAACTTAGGAAACTGGGCTTGCCTTCCTGGCTTTTCTCTGAACCAGCCTTCACCGTCTTGGGACCCAGGTTTCCTGAATATAAAATGAAGGTGCTGGATTGGGGATCTGTTACGGTCCTCAAAGCTTCGTGACTCTGGTTTGGTAAATACAGCTATCTGTTAATGGCAGAACAGTGACACACACTCATAGTAAATGCAGATGCCCTCCCGAGACAGCGCCACAGATGGCACATGGAGGCACTGGGGATGTTGCTCTGGCTGGCCCACCTCTCTGAATACAGTGCCTGTTTTCCACAGGGCAGTGTGCTGGGACCATCCATCCACCACTGTCACTGGAGCTACTGAATTTCAGTAGACCTCTGACCTTGAACCCTTCCCTAAACTCTGAAGGTCTGCTGATTAAGTCAGGTCCAAAAAAACAAACTGCCTGTCCATCTGAGTCTCTTACAGGCTAGGTCTCAGGAAGATCATTCTTACTGGGAGGCCCAGGAGTGAAGGGGCTGAAAGACAAGACTGTAATTAGCTTTCTAGAAACTACAATGTGTTTTAGGGAAGATCTTGGAGACCATCTAGTCTAAGCATTCACATTATACACGTGAGAAACGTGACACCAAGGCAGAGCAGGGCTGGAACCAGGCCTCCCAAGGTTCTTCCCACTTGGCCACGCCCAGCTTCTCAATTTGCTCCAACCAATAAATGAAAGCTTTCTTTTGAAGTGTCACCCACTCAGGGCCAAACTGATTACTTTTTTTT